AGAGGGGGGATGTGGGCTCTGACCTCCATCCTGGTAGTGCTGGGACCCTCAGGGTGGGCACAGGGCATGGGCAGCACCCTTGGGAGTGACCAGGGCCTTAAGGATGGGCACAAAGATCCGATCCATGGGAGTGACCAGGACCTTCAGGATGGGTAGAGGACATGGACAGGATCCCCGGGAGTGACCAGGGCCCTCAGGGTGGACACAAAGACGTGGTCCATGGCAGTGACCAGGAGTCTCAGCGTGGCCACAACACATGGGCAGGACCCTCTGGAGTGACCAGGGCCCTAAGGATGGGCACAAAGACCCGATCCATGGGAGTGACCGGGATCTTCAGGGTGGGTACAGGACACGAACAGCACCCCCGGGAGCGACCAGGACCCTCAGGATGGGTAGAGGACACAGACAGGACCCCCAGGAGTGACCAGGGCCCTCAGGGTGGGCACAAAGACCTGGTCCATGGGAGTGACCAGGACTCTCAGGGTGGGCACAGGACACGAACAGCACCCTCGGGAGTGACCAGGACCCTCAGCATGGGTCCAGAACATGGACAGGACCCTTGGGAGTTACCAGGGCCCTCAGGGAGGGTTCAGGACATGAACAGCACCCCTAAGAGTGACCAGCACCCTCAGGGTTGGCACAGGACACGGTCCATGGGAGTGACCAGGATCTTCAGGGTGGATTCAGGACATGAACAGCACCCTCAAAGTGACCAGGACCCTCAGAATGGGTAGAGGACACGAACAGGACCCTTGGGAGTGACCAGCACCCTCAAGGTGGGCACAGGACACGGACAGCACTCTCAGGAGTGACCAGGATCCTCAGGGTGGGCACAAAGAGCCGATCCATGGGAGTAACCAGGGCCCTCGGGGTGGGTACAGGACACGAACAGCACTCTCAGGAGTGACCAGGACCCTCAGGATGGGTAGAGGACACGGGCAGCATCCTTGGGAGTGACCAGGACCTTCAGGGTGGGCACAGGACACGAACAGCACCCTCGGGAGTGACCAGGATCCTCAGGGTGGGCACAAAGATCCGATCCATGGGAGTAACCAGGGTCCTCAGGGTGCGCACAGGACACAAACAGCACCCCTAAGAGTGACCAGCACCCTCAGGGTGGGCACAGGACACAAACAGCACCCTCGGGAGTGACCAGGATCCTCAGGGTGGGCACAAAGAGTCGATCCATGGGAGTAACCAGGGCCCTCGGGGTGGGTACAGGACGTGGGCAGGACCCTCAGGGTGGGTCCAGGACATGAACAGCACCCTCGGGAGTGACCAGCACCCTCAGGGTGGGCACAGGACACGGACAGCACCCTCAGGGTGGGCACAGGACACGGACAGGACCCTTGGGAGTGATCTGGGCCCTCAGGGTGGGCAAAGGGACTGCAGGACATGGGCAGCACCCTCGGGAGTGACCAGCACCCTCAGGGTGGGCACAGGACACGGTCAGCACCCCTAAGAGTGACCAGCACCCTCAGGGTGGGCACAGGACACGAACAGAACCCCCGGGAGTGACCAGCACCCTCAGGGTGGGCACAGGACACGGTCAGCACCCCTAAGAGTGACCAGCACCCTCGGGGTGGGCACAGGACACGAACAGCACCCTCAGGGTGGGCACAGGACACGGTCAGCACCCCTAAGAGTGACCAGCAGCCTCGTCCCGCAGGGTGCCCCTGAGCCGGCGCCGCTCCCTGCGGAAGGTGCTGCGGGACCGGGGGCGGCTCTCGCACCTCTGGAAAGCTCCGGGTGGGTCGGACACGGACAGCGAGGACTGCGCCGCCTTCTCGGAGACCAACGAGCCCCTGATCAACTACCTGGACGTGAGCAGGGAGAAACGGATCCCCCTCAATCTGCCCGAGCAGTGCCCAAACTCCTCATAAATCCCGGGCAGTGCCCGGCGTGCCAGGGCTCGCTGCCTGCCCGCCGCTTTGTTCCCGGGAATGTGGGCATGAGGACAAGGCAGGGCATTCACGGCAGCAYCCCCCTGCAGGCAGATTTACTCCAAAATTGAGGTTTTCAGGGCAGAGCCCAGCACAAAGCACCAGAGGTGTAGGGGGATCGCCAGGACGATCCCATTCCCCAAATYCCCGTCCACCCGGTGATGAGGATCCCCTCGGGGCCCAATTCCCGGGRAAAGGCAGGTGCTGGAACCGCCGTGCTGCCTTTTGTCCTCGCTTGCCGTTGTCCTTGTTAAATATTTGTGTCCCTCGTTGCGCCTGGCAGAGCAAACGCCGAGCCCCGGCCGTGCCCTGCTCCCTGGTGCCAGCATTTCTGGGGGTGCTGCTGGCTCACGGGGCTCTCTCTGCTGGCTCACGGGGCTCTCTGCCCTCCTCTCTCTGCCAGCTGGAGTATTTCGGGCAGATCTCCATCGGGACTCCCCCGCAGAATTTCACCGTGGTGTTCGACACCGGCTCCTCCAACCTTTGGGTGCCTTCTGTCTACTGCGTCAGCAAAGCCTGCGGTGAGTGGGGAGAGGCCACGGGGCAGCGACCCCGAGCCTTTGGGGGACCCTGCTGAGCCCTGGATGTCACACAGAGACAGCGGAAACCAGGGGTGACACCCGGGGGTGACACCCAGGGGTGACACKCAGGGGCTCAGCGGGGACAAACGCGGTTTGTTGGGGTTGTCAGCCCTAAAAACCTGGCATCAGCCAGCCCCAAAGAGCCCCGAGCGCCGCCGTGGGACACGGAGCAGCCCCAGGGGTGGCCCGGAGCCTGGCGGGGATGGGGGACACGGCCGGACCCTGCAGGGAGGGCAGTGCTCATCTCGGGGCTCCCGAAATGCTGCTGCCCCTTCTCCCGGAGGGCCCCACAGCCTGAACCCACTGAAATGGGGAATTTCTATCCCTCACCCACACCCTGAACCCCATTGAAATGGGAAATTTCCATCCCTCACCCCACACCCCGAACCCACTGAAATGTGGGAATTTCCATCCCCTCATATCCTGAACCCACTGAAATGGGGAATTTCCATCCCCACCCCACAGCCTGAACCCACTCAAATGGGGCAGTTCCATTCCTCACCCCATACCCTGAACCCCACTGAAATGGGGCAGTTCCATCCCTGAACCCACTGAAATGGGGCAGTTCCATCCCTCACCCCACACTCTGAACCCACTGAAATGGGGCAGTTCTATCCCTGAACCCACTGAAAGGGGGCCGTTCCATCCCTCATCACACTCTGAACCCCACTGAAATGGGGGCGGTTCCACCCCTCACCCCACAGCCTAAACCCCACTGAAATGGGGCAGTTCCATCCCTGAACCCCACTGAAATGGGGCAGTTCCATCCCTGAACCCCACTGAAATGGGGCAGTTCCATCCCTGAACCCCACTGAAATGGTGGAATTTCCATCCCTCACAGCTGCAGGGTGTCCCCATAACCTGCAGTATCGGTGTCACCACCCTGTACCCCATTTCTCCTCACCAATGGGGACACCTGGCAGCCGTGACCATGCAGGGAAATGACATTTCTGGTGACATCTCCCATCTCCTCCCCCAGCTGACCACTCCAAATTCCAACCAACACAATCCAGCACCTACCAGGTGATCGGGACCCCCTTCTCCATCCAGTACGGGACCGGGAGCCTGACCGGGATCATCGGCTCGGACCAAGTGGCCGTGAGTGCTCATCGGGTTCTCCCTCTGCGGACAAAATTCCCGGGAGCTGCCCATGGAATTGGCGTCCCCACGGAGCCCAATCCTCCTTGCAGGTCCAGGGGCTCGCCGTGAGCAACCAGCAGTTTGCAGAGAGCATCAGCGAGCCGGGAAAAGCCTTCCTGGATGCTGAATTCGACGGGATCCTGGGGCTGGCTTACCCTTCCCTGGCCGTGGATGGGGTCACTCCGGTCTTCGACAACATGATGGCCCAAAATCTGGTGGAGCTGCCCATTTTCTCCGTCTACATGAGCTCGTATGGATGTGGCTTTGCTCCAGGATGTTTCTTGGAGCCTGGAATTTAGGGAGAAGGAGGAAAAAAAATACAGATTTTTGACTGAGATAATGGAGGGGGGTTTGGGATCAATCTGAGCATCACTGACCTCTGGCCTTACAGAGTTTGTGGGAGGMAAATTGGGGTAAATCCATGCAAAATGGGAAAAAAATCAATCCTGTGCCTTCATTCCTCCTCCCTGCAGGAACCCCGAATCCCCCCAAGGGGGTGAGCTGCTCTTTGGGGGTTTTGACACCTCCCGCTTCACGGGACCCCTGAACTGGGTGCCGGTCACCCAGCAGGGCTACTGGCAGATCCAGCTGGACAAGTGAGTGCTGCTGGCCAGGGAGGGGAGCAGGGCTGGGCTGGGAGAGCAGGACAAAGCCYTKCTGCTCCTCCTCGCCCTYTTCCAGCATCCAGCTGGCTGGGACRGTGATTTTCTGCGCCGACGGCTGCCAGGCCATCGTGGACACCGGCACGTCGCTCATCACCGGCCCCACCAAGGACATCAAAGAGCTGCAGAAGCTCATCGGGGCCGTGTCTGTGGATGGAGTGGTGAGAGCCAGGGCAGGGAYGGGATGGGGCCAAGCCTTGGGGACCCTTCCCTGCTGGGAGAGATCTCCTGGGCAGCCCCCGAGCCCCTGGGATGTTGCAGTTCGCCGTGGAGTGCAGCAATCTGGACGCGATGCCTGGGCTGACCTTCACCATCAACGGGCTGCCCTACACGCTCAGCGCCCAGGMTTACACCCTGAYGGTACWGCCCCAAACCCAGAGCCAGCCCRGAGGGTGACAAACCCCTCTGCTCCTGCTTTGTCACCGTTCCTGGGTGTTTTCATGCCCTCGAGGCTCCATCCGCGGCTGTCCCCTCCTCCTTCCCCAGGAGTACGCTGATGGCGAGGCTTTCTGCACCAGCGGCTTCCAGGGCAGCGACATCCCCCCTCCCACCGGGCCCCTCTGGATTTTGGGAGATGTTTTCATCCGCCAGTTCTACACCGTCTTTGACCGCGGGAAYAACGTGGTGGGGCTGGCCCCCGCCGTGCCTTAGGGTGGGCAGGGCAGGGCGTGTCACCCTCGGTGTCCCCGGTGTCCCCAAACACCCAGGGATGCGGCTGAAGAGCCCAGCAGGAGCTCAGCCCACCCCAGAACGCTGGGATACAAAAATATCTCGAGCAGCTCCGTGATCTGCTCCGCACCTTCTCCGTTTTTCAACCCTGAGCCAATAAAAGCTTTAATAAACCCAAACCCGCCGTGTTCCCGTCCTCAGGAGCGTGGCAGAAACCCTGCACAATTCTCTGGGGGTTAAACCTTCTGTGGGCTCACCCTGCCCTCCTCCCTGCGTGATCCCTGGCACTGCCAGGGCTGCGCTCCGGAGCTTCCCCGGCATTTCCACCAAGGAAAAAGAGAAGGATGCTTTACCCAAAAAATCCCCGAAGGTGGCTGTGGCCATCCCTGAGCATCCCACGGGGGCTGAGGCCATGGTTTTGGGCAGGGCAGGGGCTGAGGGAGCTCTGGGTAAACCAGGAGGTGAACAGGAGACTGGAAAGGCCCTGGGGCTCTCTCTGTGCCACCAAACTCCTGCAAAGAGCAGTGATTTCCAGCGAATTTTGCTTTGCTTCCCTTGGGGAACTCACAGAGTTCGGTGAGTCCTCAAAGCAAAAAAGGGCAAAGGAGCCACCGAGCCCTGGGCTGGGCTGGCCCCAGGGGTGGGGATGGAGAGTCCAGGGGGGTCTGGGGGATGCAGAGGAGTCCCAGGGGGATGCAGAGGGGTCCCA